TCCTGTGCACTCTTCCGGCAAACGCAGCACCTCAACATCAAGAGATGGCAATCCATGCAGCGGCCATCATCGCCCATGCACGGCAGACAGAATCTACGCTCACAGACAACACAGCTGAAACGGGCATCAGGGTGCCGCCGATCAGTTGTTGGGTCATCTTTCGCGCACATTTCTCCAGGTCCTCTCCCGGGTCCAGCCGCAGCAGCAGGTGCAGGATCAGCAGTCCTGCCATGTCCCTCAGGAGCCCCGTGCCCACCTGTGTCCTCGCGATCACGTGAAGCAGCACCACGGTTCCTACCGGTCCGGGTCTCCCTATCTGCTCGACGAAAATCGGTTTGACTGGGCTCTGGAGACCTTGCTTCGCTATCGCGGACTCGGGCGTCGGTGGTAACCTGAGGGTCCCGTCCAGCTCCCCTACCGGGGTTTGCTCTCGCCCTTCGGCTTTCGGCCTGGGTCTCTGTAGGCCTAGGAGGGGAAAAAGATCGATCACGCGTCCTGTCATCTTCCCGACCATGGCCATATCCCCTGCGTATGGAATCATCCCTACCGGGAGATACAGGGCGTCTACCTGTCCTGCTGTCATCTCGGATCCCGGCCGACATATTCTGATTAGCCGTTCCTCGGGAGCGGTTGCTGAGTGGGCTAACACTCCTAGGTTGTCCACCAGCAGCATTGCCTCGAGAGCCTCCTCGGTCACTAGGATTAGGTGTTGGAGATCTCACCCTGTGTGGTTGGCCGACAAACGCAACAAACCCCGAACCAGGTGCCGCTGCCCTTTGCCCACGGGCAACGGTATCTTCAACGGTCTGCTCAAGAACAGCCTCGACCCCGGCAATCCTCTCCTGCGTGGCGTTGCTAATATCGGTCAACACCTGAATGTTCTGCCTTACCGTGACAAGTCTCCGATTGCATACGTCAACCTGGTCACGATAATGGACCAATTCTCGTCTAACAACGGCCTGAATATGGTCCGTTCCGGCAACAGGAGCTCCACTGGTTACGGCATTCCTGACCTGGGCCCTCAGAGCTCTAAGCCCGTTCCCGACTCCTTCAGTGCTCGCAGTCAAAGCATTCAGCCTAGAATCCATTGTTGCTTGATGCTCTTGATTTTGAGCGCTCCTGCGAACTTCGGCTCTGACCCGGGTGGCGAGTTCCTCAACCTTTCGGTAAAGTGTGTTGAACATTTCCTGCCAGTTCCTTGGCGCGGCAACCGCCTGTGTAGGGGTTGCAGCCTGATCAGCAGGGCCAATGCCAAGCGATGGTATCTCCGACCGGAGGTACCGCACTTCACTCGTGAGGCGTCCTCTGCTCTCCTCCTCGTCCCCGATGCGGGATGTGAGGTTCTTAATCTCCTCCTCGATCTCATTGATCTTCGCAGTGGCCCAAACGCCAAAGTTCTCTCCTTCAAAAGCGACAGTATCAAGCCTGTCAGAAACATTCGCAAGGGTAATTTGACTACCGTCATCAGAGGCCCTGACAAAGCTGGACACTGCAGTAACGCCTGCGGAAGAACTCGCTTCTACCGAAGCAATACGGCGTTCTACCTTCCCGATTTCAATTCGGGTTCTGTCCTCAAAGGCAACCTGACTGCGGTGAATGATCACGTGATTATCATGGATCAGCTCCTTGGTGATGCGAGTGTTGTTCTCCAGGCTCCTAACGGAGTTCTGCAATTCCGTAGCAAGAGAGTTAATCCTCTCGTCAATGATGACACCCTGCTCGTCAATGGCTGCCCTGACGATCATCCTGGTGTCAGGAATTATCTCACCTGCAAACTGTTGGACTACCGTCCGCATTCGGCCTGCATCGGTGAGTGAACCTACGTCATTAGCAAGACGCTCGACGCGGATCATCATTTGATTATGTTTCTCATGCCATGACTCATGCATTAAATCCATCTGTCCTTCCAAAGAACGGATTTGGTCAGCAAATGCAATCAACATAGCGACAACCGGTCCCGAAGCCTCACCTCTCTCAGCAATCAGCTGGAGGTCCGCGTGAAGATCGTCTCGTCCCGGTTCAGACTCCCTGGATGACCTGGACCTGACTGCGGGAGGCGTCGATATCTCGACCCTTTCAGGAACTTCCCCTCCGCTACCGCGGGCATGGGAGATTCGGAGTGGCGATCGGTCCGATGTCCTCGAATGCCTGAATGGGCTTTCCCCTCTCCTTCGGCTAACGCCGGAATGAGAGGCACCTTCGGACCTGCGGGATTCGGGAGTTGACAGGATGGGGATGTCCGCAGCATCAGGCATGTCAGCATCTCCAGCACTCGCTCCGGGCGGCCTCGGACTGGCTCTCCTAGCCTTGGACCTATCCTCGGCCTCGCCTACCGGCGAAGGACGCTTAGCAGATGCGCTTCTCTCCCGACTAGATTCCCCCCATTGAGGAGTGAATTCATTGCTAGACCTGAGCGGTTCGGCCTCTTGGGCCTCCTGCCCTAACGGGCTGTCAAGAAGACCGGCCATGCTCATGGGCAGCACCTCAGCAAGTCGTTCGGAAGCCAACGCATCCCTTGCTCTCCTGACTGCCTCGGGATCACCACCTTCGTTCTCCGGAAGATCAGTCCTACCTTGGTTCCTGTTGAACGTGATGTTGGGAAAAGGGGGGACGTTAGGGACATCGAAGATCCTTGGGATTGCCTGGGATGGACGCGTACCCAGCGTACGGCCAGGATGCGTCAAAACCGCATCAATGCCTTGCAGGATCGGCTCGCTTTCCTCGGATCTGACCCAAAGAGGTCGCCTGTCTCTGTCCTCCTCAAAGTCCCTCTGTCCATCTCTAGAAGGGGTAGGGTCCATAGGAATGTAGGCGGTACGAACGTCGACGTAGGCCGGCTCGTTTCCTTCATCAGAGCCGTCCAGCACCATTCGATATTCCTCCAACCCACCAATGTTGCGTGCACGCCTACCGGCGTGGCTAGCTCTTCCCCTGGCAATGGCCCTACTTTCCTCCTCATCGACAGCATCTGCACGAGCTGCCTCGCGGTCCTCATCAAACTCCTCCTCAGCAAAACCGCGATCCCATCTGTCCTCAATCTCCAGCTGATGCCTACCGGCATCCTGTTCGGGTTGAATCGTCTCTCCCCAGCCTACAGTGGAAGAAAAGATGGAAGCAAGGTCCCCACCGGCGACATCTTCATCAGACCTAGTTTGAAACTCTATCCCATCAAGTTGGCCGGGGTTTTGAACTTCACGGGTTTGATTCGGCCTTGGGCTACCGCCCGCAACCCTACCCAAAACCCCCTGGGAACCCTCGGCACGGCTAACGCCTCTACTTGTAGGTGGTTCCTGGAATCCGCCTGGCGAGAAAGCCTGCGGTGGCCTGTCAGGATGTTGAAGCCATTCCTGAGTCCGCGTACCTGCCGGTGGATCGTCCCTACCGGGACCTGTCCTCCGAGTCTCCTCAACGTCGGTACCCCGACGGAAAATTCGGTCATCACCGTCGTCCGTGGTACCTGCCCGGTCCTGGTCATCATCCCTACCGGGATCTTCACTCGAAGGACCAAGCCCAGCCGAACCGAAGAATTGTTCGTAGTCAATGTCCGGCTGCTCCTCACCTGAGCGGAGGTCACCTAGGATGGCCTCCTCATCCACGACGCTCCGGTGCGAACGTGGGGTTGACGTCATTGATCTCGTAGTCGAAGGTCACGAGCACGTAGGAGAGTCCTACGGCTGATAACCTGTGATTCGGGCACGAGCCTGTGCCCAGGCAAAGGGTTAAGTTGGGAAAACAAGCCACAAAGAAAGGTCCCAAACAATAACCAATCCCTAGTCCCAAAGATCAGGGGTTCCAACGTACAAGCAACCAAACAACCACAAGTAAACCAAAACACACAGAAAAGAGTTACCCACAACCTTGATCGACGACAGGCCGCACGAAGGGTTCCTACCAACCTGACGGCGGCCCGAGGTCTCTTTCTCCCCCGAGACAACGTCGGTCGACGCAGGAGTTCGGCGACGCCCATCCGAGGCGTGACGGAACTCGTAAACTTGAGCCAAACACAAGTCGGATTGACGAGTGTCTGAAAGAACTGACTGGCTCATCGCTACCGCGAGATTCCAGTTCACAGAAATAACACATGGCAAATCACATAATAAGAACAATAATAAGATCATGATGATGATGATGATGATGATGATGATGATGATGATGATGATGGCGATGACAATGACGATGACGATGACGATGATGATGATGATGATGATGATGATGATGATGATGATGATGATGAGGATGAGGAGGAGGATGACGATGAGGATGAGGATGAGGATGACGATTTTGCTGCACGTTTGCGGCGCAGTCTTTGTTATAGCTATCTGTGTTTGGCTGCACCTCCTCCATCAAACTTGATGCGTTGTAAGCCATTCATGTTTTCTGGCCATTGCAGCATTCCAAGGCGCATATCCAAGCCGCACAAAAAGGGAAATCGAGTTGGATCCTTGTCCCAGCGGGCATTCGAAACCTTCGCCAGCGCCTTTCTTTAATGGCCACTCCCAGCCATCATTTCGGGGGCAGTTGTCATGTATATTGTAAGGCTTTTCAGTCTGGGGCAGCATAGCGCTTTGCCTCGCTCAGGGAGGCAATAGTACTTGACATGTATTTAGAACTGGGACCTCCCCGCTTTACTTGAGGCTCGAACATGTTACTTCTATCCTCTCTTCCTTGAGCCAGCTTCTAAGCATTTCTAAGCTATGATTGCCGGCCAAACCCCCCAAAAGGCGCTGGATTCTTGACATCGCTGCCATCCCCGGCCCTTAGCTCTGGGAAGGTCCCCCAGTCCCATTCCCGGGGTGACCCTCGCACCCTCGATGAGCATCGACTTGGGGTATGATTTGGATTGGGACTAAGTGGCCTATGGGTAGCGGGGAATTCCAAAAGCTGAATTAAGAGATCCCCAAATGAAGGACCTTCGTCATGGTGAGCTTATTTTAAGCTGAGCTCACCATAAAATACGCAGTTTTTCAAGGGTGGGCATCCCTCGAGTGCCGGCGAGCGGCTTGAAATCTTCGCCTTGCAAGGCCAGAATGCCGCGTGAGGCAGTCTCAGCGACACCTCCGGACAGGCCTAACAACGTGAGGGTCACGCAGGTGGGAGGAAGGGTAGTGGGGACACCTTTGTCACTCACTTTCCAAATGGTAATCTTCGCATGTCAGGTGGACTTCTAAACCATGTTAAAGGTTCTAGTTCTGCTCAAAATGGGGATCTCGCATCCGACTATGCGGAATCCGTAGGGAAACCACTACCATCTGGCAGAACTACTGATTGATTTTGAAGAGCCCAGTCTGATTTTGTTGGAGCCCAATTTAGTCTTCAAGGCCCCTTTCATCCAGGCGGCCTTTTCGGTCGCATATTTTATGCAGAGCGCCAGGCGCTGCAACACAGGGCCAGTCATGTTCACTCAAGCTGGTTGTCTTCTAGGCTCATGAGTTGAATGCTTCGAATTTCATAAACCCTCGCGGCTTCTCAACCTGTGAGCCTGGCGTCGAAGTATCTGGCGCAACTCCCTGGCTGCATTCGCAAAGTCCTGCCAGCCTCGATTGCGCAAAGCTCCAAGTCGGATGCCAACAACACCGTGTCTCTAGGGGGCAAGAGTTGCCTCTGGGAATCCCCCTATGTTCCTATCTTTGCATCTTCGGCGTCCTTTCAGAGTCCCTTGCCCCAAGAGATGCAGCTAAACTCAGTGCAAAGGCACCACTTGCCGACTTCTGCTTCTTCCAACTTTGAAATATGCGATTGTGCAACAACCCAAATGCCGGCTTCCAGGACTGTCCGGATCCGGTGTCGATGTTATCTCTGGAGCCGCTCTTGGACATTCCCCTTCATTTCTTGCGACGCCCTTCTATCAGTTCTCTAAGGTGCCTCCACATTCTGTGAATCCCCTTCTGGTTGGCATTCAAAGGGAAAATTAAAGAGACATGTTTGACAGCTACTTGGGTTCTCCAAATGGGATCTGGCACACCTACAACCGGACCTGGCTTCCCTTTGGTTCCGTGTCTGAACCCACCGTCAGGTTGGCACTAGCACACAGCAGTTTCCCTCAGCAACCCACGAGTTTGTCCATCCAAAACAAGCGCCGCACCTCTGAGGTCAATTGACGAAAACTCCCATGGGACAATCAAAACTGTGTAGCAGCTAGACTATCATGGCAAACGGTACCAACCCCCAAACAAGGAACCACATTCATTTTGGGAATCCCGTTTAAATTTATTCACACACACTACCAAAATGGAATCGACCATTCTCAACCATGATGTGCGGGGGTCTCTTTGGAGGTTACCCTTATGTGGTTGTATCGTTGTATCAAAGGAAAACCAAAGGCTTTTCCACAATCCCATATGGAGATTCATGTTGCGTGGACATGGATCCTGTTGACATCATTAATGTATTGAAGGCTTTCCTGACGTTGGTACCACCAATGAGGATTTTCCCTTGGGAGACACACTTGTCCATGGAGGGACATGACGTGTGAACTCACGAACAAATTCCCACCAATTCCGATCGACTTCCATTGGCCAGGGGAAAAAGGGATCGGATACGTACTTTTTGTTGTTGGTTGATGTTTGAAGAGAACGCCAACAAACTAGGAAAAGGTCTGGAGGTTCTCATGTCCACAAACACGCCGCCAAAAAAGCAAGAAGCTTCCCACGCAAGACTGACAGAAGACCACACCAAGACCACCATTTGTCAGAAACAGCACAACCCCACCAAGTGAATCGCCCGCGCCCTGCCGCTTCTTCTCTAGCGCGTCTGGGGCTCCGGCGTGGACAGCGCAGCGTGCCGGCAGAGTTAGCCATGGGCGCTAAGCGTGTCCGCAGCTCCTCAGTGGGTTAAACACTTGGGCAAACCGTGGCAAACCACTGACCACCCAAAACAAAGCAACACAATCTGCCAAAATCCCCGAACTGGTGAATACGGTAGCAAGGTGCCTCAGCTCTGTGGGTTAAATACTTGGGCAAACCACCCAAAAGCAACACAATTCACTGCCAAAATCCCCGAGCTGGTGAATACGGTAGAAAGGTGCCTCAGCTCTGTGGGTTAAATACTTGGGCAAACCACCCAAAAGCAACACAATTCACTGCCAAAATCCCCGAGCTGGTGAATACGGTAGAAAGGTGCCTCAGCTCTGTGGGTTAAATACTTGGGCAAACCACCCAAAAGCAACAGAATTCACTGCCAAAATCCCCGAGCTGGTGAATACGGTAGAAAGGTGCCTCAGCTCTGTGGGTTAAATACTTGGGCAAACCACCCAAAAGCAACACAATTCACTGCCAAAATCCCCGAGCTGGTGAAATACGGTTAGAAAAGGTGCCGCAGCTCTGTGGGTTAAATACATGGGCAAACCACCCCAAAAAAGCAACAACAATCACTGCCAATCCCCGAGCTGGTGAAAACGGTAGAAAGGTGCCTCAAGTCATGAGGGTGAAAACTTGGGCAAACCACGCCAAAACCAACACAATTCACTGCCATAATCCCCGAGCTGGTGAATACGGTAGAAAA